AAAAGCTGTCGAAATTGTTTTGATCATGAAGTTTGTTTTGTTCATGACATATAAAAGTTTGAATGTATTGTATTGTATTGTATTGAATGATATGATGAGTGTTTTGTTGTGAAGCAGATGAGGGTTTATTGTGAGTTGGTGCATTGTGTCTTTGCTGGAATGAGGTGTTTTATTGTCACTGTGGTAAATGAGAATGAATTGGAGCTTAACATTAATGGCAATTGTTGATTGTTCAGAGTGACTGCTATGTGTAATTCACTGGGACCCAGTGGAGTACAGTTCTTTGTGTGTGTGTGTGTGTGTGTGTGTGTGTTCTGCAGTGAGGGTGTCCTTCACAGAGAAGAGCTTCTGGAAGCGTGTGTTTGAAGATGTTGCTGGCTCTTTGTCGCAGTGTTATCAGGATCAGAGCTGGGCTTGAACGCTCCAGGAAGCACATGCTGATGTTGCACGCTGTGGTAATGGCCTCTTAATGCCAACATAAATAACCAAATCGAAAACATTTCTCTGCTTCAAACAACTATTTTTTTTTTCTGGGGCTATTTCATGGTCTTTGACTGTTTTATTACAAATTACTTCATTTGATGCTTCCTGTTCTGATAGCGGGACGGCTTGTTGTCGACCCTGCAGATGTTGCATTCTAAAACCCCAAAGAGTGCATCAATTGTTTTGTGAATCCTCGCTTGTCAGAAAGTCACATTGCAACTTTACTTGTCGACTCAAGTGGGGTGTCTTGATTTTTACTGCAGTGAATGCGGGGCAAAGCGACTGTATGTCCTTGACTGGATAATGTAGAACCCCCACCATTTTATCAGGCCGGTCCCCAACGGTTTCAAGCACTCCTTTGTCCTTTTTTCTACAACCCTCTTCTATCTAATCATTACTTAGTATGGCTGAATTAATGGGAATACTTGACTCTTTCTCTGTTTTCAGACTGGAATATGCCCGTTGTCCTGGTGCAGTACCATGGGAACAAAGCCATATCTTATATTCTATCCTCATTTGTATGGACATTAAAGTTATGCTGCCTACCTGTGAGTTTGCTGTGGAGACTGTATTATCTAAAAGTAGTTGTTTTGTCCTCTAATTGTTCCCTAAGTGCATTTTCACACAAAAAATATACTCCCAAAGAGTGAACCCCTTACTTACTTTTCAAGTTTCCTTATCCTCCTCTTTTTAATTTATAGCTCTCAGCCCCTATCTACCATGGAGTCTGTATAGAAGTCTGTAAAGCTGCCTTGTGTAGTCTGGAACTGCACAGCTCATTTGTCATTACATCCTGCCCTAATAGGGAGAAACTGCCTCATCTTGAGCTCCCAGTGTTGTTAATTAACCCTTCCTGCTAACAGCCACAGTCTACATCGCTACGGTGTTATCACCGCGCCGCCTGCCAGGAGAGCTAGCATTAGCCCAGGCCATATTTCTGCAGGTGTCAGTGGAGGTGCTTCCTCTCCCTGCCGATGTGCTTTTGAGAGTATTACTCAAACAGCAATGCGGTTTTATCTTAAATTGAATTGTTGCGGGAGATGTTAAAGAGCCATACATCACCTGGACACTCGCAGCATTAACAGAGAATCTGCAGCAGTATGAAAGCAGGGACAGGAACAGCTCGATGGCATTACAGGTGGAATGAGCTCTATGATGAAGGCTGCGTTCATAAATCTACGGGCAGAGCAAATCAAGTTGTCAGCTTGTAAACATCATTTAGTGCGTGTGTGTGTTGTGTGTGTACATTTTTGCAGCGCCGTTGATTATGAGTGTTTTGTTTTAGCCTTAAGGAGGTGACCTTCCTCTTCTCTTTTTTTACCGCCTCAGTCATGTTTCTCTTCTCTCTTTTCAGTTTGAGCATCAGAAACCACACCTCTACCTGCCTTCACTTCACAGGTCGATTGGATCAATTCCTCTATGTTCACCTTTAATCTAGTGACCACTAAAAAGGACACCTACACATCACACAGGCCTTTAATCCCAAAAAAGCTTTCCCAATTTAGAGTTGGTCACTGTCTCTGAGGAAACAGCGCCTCAGGTCTGTTATATTGGGTCATATTGGCTTCCTCTGTGCTCACTTGGCCTCTGGCTAATGCCCTGCTCCATGTATGGATTTTCTGTCCTGTATTTCCTCAGCCTGTCTGCCTGTGATGGGTTGTTCAGATCTAACCCTGCAGAACGCTGCTGATTGCAGTGGTATATCTTCATCTTTATGTCTGAGTATAGCAGAAAGCTCTGCCAACGATCTGCTGATGTTTGCCTCGCGATGGATTTGGAGAATTAGCAACAAGGGCATGTGTTGCAGTTTGCAAGTGTATGACTTACAGTTTTTATTTGATTCTCATTTGCCTCAACCGCCTAGACAAATGTGTGCTGTAGTTCATTCGAAGAGTGTTGCGTGTGAATTAGTTTGATGGGAATTTTGATGTTCTCACGAGTGTACAGAGTGTGTTTTTTCGTGCAGTTGTTCTACTTTTTAGTTCAGGTTTATATCATTGCTGCAATGAAATCTTTGGAAAATTAATTTGATAAAGATAAAGTGGTCGAAGTTTTGAAAAATGGCATGATGGTAGCCTTCTTCAATTCAGGCTGTTGCAAACGGTGTGTTTTTCCCTTTAGGTGAGGATGTTGTTGTGGCTGGTTGTGTTCCTGCCTGCCCTGTCCTCGGCTCAGCGATCGGAGCCCATGTTCTCAGCTATAACCAAGACCGTCCTTCCACCCGACTATGACAACAACCCCACCCAACTCAACTATGGCATGGCCGTCACTGACGTGGATGGGGACGGAGACCTGGAGATATTTGTAGCTGGGTGAGAAAGGGGAAGGCAGGTTGTATAAAACAGCCTTTTGTTACTCAAAGTTAGTTTAATTCAAGCTTCATGAATCTTAAATCCTTAATGTCCACTTACTCTTTTCACAGTGTTACAAGCACTCTAATCTTTTTTTATTATGCACAATTAGAGCAATTAATTAACTGCTGAGTTCTAAATGGGAGGCTAAAATAAAAGTGCAGTGTCATTTTCCAAGCTAAAGGTTGAATACAAAGGCAAAAGACTAAAAAGACGAGGGATAGTAAGGGTGCCCTGAGGCTCACTCAGCTGATGAAAATGGATGTGATTGGATAGAGCGTCATTGATGGGAACAGTTTGGCAAGCCTGCCTATATCCAGCGAAGCAGTAATGAATTTCCCAGTGCTTAACAGAATATAGATGGAAGAAAATGACCCGCTTAATAAATGTCATTTAGCCAAGATATCCTATTCAGCAGGTACACTGGACAGGTGGGCATCACAAAACCTCACAGAGGATGTCATTTCATTTGGCATCAGAAGAATGATGTGTTGTATTATACTGACGTTGTTTATCTTTGACCATGTTAACAGTCACTGTAGAGTGTTTAAAGTTTTGATAGACCAGATTTTCATCCTCCCTGTGGCCTCTTTTCTGTGTTACTCTTACTGCCATTAACAGACAATGTTAAAAATATTTCCTAGAACAGAGTTTTAACAGCTTTTGTAATGTATATCTCATTGTGTACAACATTTAAGAGGTTTTTGGAACCTTAATATTTGGCCAAAATTGGATTTTTACCGCAAGCTGTTGCTTCATGCTCTCCTGGTGCAATAAAGGCGCAATTTAATTAATTAGTACCATGAAGAAAATGTTAAAGCTGTAGTCAATTCCAGGTCATAGCTAAACCAATTATAAAAAACTGTACTGATTATAATGATAGTTGATTTTAAAGGGCCTAAAAACATATTTTGTCAAATGAATACTTTTGTTTTTGTCTGTGCTCCTTTCACAGGTTTCTGGCTCACCAAAGGGTGATGCCATCTTATTCTGGGCATCAATCAGTATTTAACAACATTTAAATCAAAATCTGATGACAGGTTGCACATTATTTGCTTATGTTGCCAGACTGCTGTCAACCAAAATCTGTTTACCCCTACACAGTCCTGATGTTGCAGATTAGCAGAGAGTTATACTCTCACAGGACCAGTGTGTAGTGGCATATAGCCTAGCGCCAGTGTTTAAAGGACCTCTTATGCTTTTCCTTAGTTTCTGTCATATATGTAATTACAATGTCAGATGTTGATATTAAATGGAGACAAAGAGTCGTAGAATTTGGTAAATAAGTATTCCTGGTAAAGAAAAAGCTCAGAATTCAGACTTCTCTGAATGCAACGTTTCTTATGGTTATTTGCTGGAGGCAGAGCAAGGCTGCACACGCCCACAAACTACAGGGACCTGCTCCGTCTTTAAGTAAACTGACTGCTCTGCTCCGGAGTAAAGGCCTTTGCACATCAAGTCAGATTTTTTGGGTTATGTTTCTTTAATCCCTCATCAGATTAAATTTGTTACACATTAAAACCTTGCACACTGAGTCTGATGTGTTTTATCATCTATTTGTTGCAAAATTCGTAATGCAAGACCGAGTCATCGCGCAGTGAGGATGATTGTGTGGTCTGCTCACTTGAAAGTGTGAAAACAAAAAAAGTAATTAGGTCCAAGGTGTCAAAAACCTACTGATAAAGTAGGTGTCCGCTCGCTGCTGTCGCTCTGTCTCTCACTCATCTCTCTTTTTTCCTTCTTGCTTCTCTCTACTGGAGGTTCCTCCACGCTGCTGTCTGTCTGCATGTTGCACTTGGCACTGCGGCTACAAGAGCCTGATCCGTCCCCTCGCTCTCCCTGCTATCTGTGTGCTTTTCTCATATGACGAGTGCAAAATTTTTTATTTAAATCTGTTCCGAAAAAAAAAAGTCAAGGTGAAACAGAAATCTGAGTGCTATCTGCTTCCGCACATTTACATATTTCCTGTAAAAACAAGTAGCTAGGGAGGGACTTGTTGCAGTAGCCAATACCACTGTGTTTTACGCCCCCCAGTCAAGCCGCTTAAGCGGACCCTACTCAGTCGGAACTGGAAGCTCCCAGTGAAAAGCACAGCCAAACTGGGACCAAATGCAGAATCCCAGGGCTAAGTTGGCTAACATTAGCTGCACAAACTAACTAGCTAACGGCATCTGACATTACTTTTGGCGACAGCTCCTTTTAGCAAGATGTCCATCTGGAAACTCCATATATCACCTCGGTACCGCTGTGATCAAACTGGCCTGTATTGGAGGTTGTGTTCACTGGGAGGCTGCTGAGCCCCGTTCGGTTGCATGCTAACGGCAGCTACAGCAGATGTTAGCGGGGTTGAGGCAGAGCAGCTGCAGAATGTCAGAGGGAAAAATATGTGAAAGTGAAAAAGTTTTTGTTTTGTTGTCATGACACGGCCCCCCAGAAACACTGGGCAATGGTAGCGAGCTATGCTGTTGGAGTCGGTGTGTTAATATGATTGACAAAACGTGAGGTCGTATTCATTTTTAAATGTGGGATTGGAGTTTGGGATGAAAAAAAACAGACTTGGTATGAAATGGCCTTAACTGCTAGCTGCTGCTAACTGCTCCTCAGCATGCGAAGCTAATTTAGTTGAGTTTCAGAATAAGAATATAGAACTGCTGAGGACAATAGGTCCGCTTTAAGTCCTTTCTGGACAACTGGTTCAACATGGCAGAATAGAGATAGAGGTAGGCAGATAAAAGTGGCTATATTCTATAATAATAACACACACTTCTCATTTTCAAGTGATTGTACACTATTGAAAACATACCTACGAGTATTCAATTTCCGCCAAGAGATCCTCCTAAAATGTTACACACTCAACCTTAAATAAATAATAGTTTGATTGTTATATATTAAGTCATGAATATTTAAGTTACAGAGAAATACGAAAAAATAACAGTGTTGAATGGTTAAAAAAAGATTAACCATTAACATTGGTGCAGCAGAACCAGAGATATCATTCTTTTTATTCAGGTGTTGTTATTCTAGTAGTGTCTAGTAGCGGCTCATGTATACTTACAGAAATGAGGAGGTCTGGTAAGCTCTCGTTTTTCTAACTCCACACCCCTAGACTTTTGTTTTTAATTTTGAAACTTGTTACCTTCAGCCCCAACCAACGGCCTTAAGTGACATCACTTGAAGCAATTTAACAGACTCAGTCACAGTCACAAAAGGCTTTATACATTATTATTATTCAGATATGCAGTAGTACTTCCCAAGACCTGACTGACTCAGTGGTGTTCCCCTTTAAGTTCACAAGGATTTAAAAATACAGTTTTACAATATTTTGCATAACATAAATGTAAGTTCATCTTAAAATTAAGCAACATAAACATTGTTTTTGGGATTTTTAGGTAGCATCAGTAGTTATTACTCATGAAGTGTAGAATAAAAAAACGACACTTTGATTTAGGCTTCAATATTCCTGCTGACAGTCTTATGAAATGAAGATATAACAGCTTTCCATTGGTGCCTGTTGACAGCTACAATGGCCCAAACCTGGTGCTAAAGTACGACAAGGAGAAGAAAAGGCTTGTCAACATCGCTGTTGACAACCGTAGCTCCCCGTTCTACGCCCTGAGGGACCGTCAAGGCAATGCCATCGGAGTGACAGCGTGCGACATCGATGGAGACGGTCGGGAGGAGATTTATGTCCTTAACACCAATAACGCCTTCTCTGGTACAGTACATTCTTTTTAAACACAAAGACACACACAAAAAAACACACTGACAAATGTGCACACACTCACACAGAGGTTGTACCTCTTTTTTTGTACAGAGACAAAGCAGGAGAATCAGTATGCAGATATTAAGCTTATCTCATCTGAGTGTTCATCAGATAACAGACAAGCTTTGTGCTGCTATTAATCAATCGGAGAGCTATAGAGCACAGACTGCCAAAAGTGCACCTCACCTCACTTCTATAATTTTTTACAAAAATGATAGAGGTCACTTGCAGCCACAGCCGCCTGCTCTTCTGTTTCCAATCACCCACGGTTCTTGAATTGCATAACACCTCTTCACTCTCTGCACAATCTTTGCCTCTCCTGAACTCTGCGTCTCTCCGCATCAAGGTCGGGCAACATATTCAGACAAGCTGTTTAAGTTCCGTAATGGACGCTTTGAAGATCTGCTGAACGATGACATTAATGAACACAGAGATGTAGCCAATCGTATGGCTGGGCGCTCAGTGGCCTGTGTGGACAGAAAGGTACTACACACACACACACACACACACACAAACACAGACAAACACACTCAGTATATGCAGATCCACACCACACACACACACACACACACACAAATTCCCCAGAGTGTCTTCTGCGTACATGCATGGGTGCTTCTGTTTGTTTACTAGTGATAACTCATGCCCTGCCTACGCCGCCCTTCTCAGCATGTGCTATGACAGTTCATTTGGGGGAATGGTGTGCCATTTTCTCTCTTCTGTCCATCGCACCAGTGTAATTACAGAAGCCAGGGCTCGTTTGTTTTATAGAACATCGTACGAGGGGAGGAGTGATGACTGCACACTACTGCTTTCTGCCCGTAGCATTTTCTCCCTTTCTCTCAGTCCCTTTCCCATTGTTTTCTCCCCTCTTTCTACCACCTTTACTCCCTTTTTTTCTCTCTCTGATTGACACGCTCACACTCTTTCTTTGTCTCTTATCTCACACACATGCGTACAGTGCTCACTTCCAATCAGGGGATGGGATAAAGAAAGTAATAGTGGGAAGAGGACAGTAGGGATTACAATAGATTTTTTTTAACCACAGTCCCATCTCACTGAGCTGCCAAACCGATTGGAAAGATATCTGCTTTTAATGGCATAATGCTTTTAGAGGAAGCCAAAACCCTGATGCGTGTTCTTCCATGGAAGTTCCAGCAGACTGACAAGGAGCGAGAATAAATTTTCCTATTGCTGAGCAAGTTTTATTAGAACCGATATGGAACAATGGCAGAAGGTTACATGGGCCAAAATCAAAGCATGTTGTATAGTCGTCTAGGTAGCTAATGTGTTTGGTCTTGTTTACTCATAAAGAAAGTGTTATCGTTCAGAAAAAAAGAGGCATAATTAGTCATCCAACTGTTTCATCCCTCCCAGTCTCCTTGAAAGTGAAGTCCCATCATTAGTCTAACACAAACTGATGAAGGTGACATATTGAAGGGTCTCATGTGAACTGATGGATCGGTTCACTTCGCACTGGCAGGCAGGATGGAGTTTCTGAGAATAAGTCGATTTTAAAAGCCAGAATAATTGAAATAAGTCTGATAAAAAAAAGATGAAAAAAAATGAAGTCTGATAAAAAAAAAGATGGAAAAAATGAAAGAAGATGATAAAAAGCACAATATACATTTGAAAAAAAAAATTTTTTTTATTAGAGGTGGTAGCTTATTCAGGCGTCTCAGTGATAGCTCTGAGGACTGATGTAAAGGGCAGGCAGTCACATATCCCTGCACCAACATGCTCTTTTTGCAGGCATGCATGTCACACTATTCACAGTGCCAATCCCAGTGACAGAAATTAGCCTTGGGTGAAGACTTATTGAAAAATCGTTGACTTTTAAGTTTGTTAAGTAACTGCCAGTGGCCTTCAGGTCTTTCATTGTAGTTCATTCTCATTTTGCCTGAGTGTGTGTGTGTGTACGTGCAACCCTCTGCTGCCACCTCAGCAGGCCATAATGTGATGCTTCATGACATTTACATCAACTACACTCATTTACCTTTCTTGTCTTGTAAAAGTATAGTAAAGTTAACACCAATGGTGAAATGGCGCATATGTGTGTGCGTTTGCATGTGTGCATGTGTTTGTATTGATTGAAATATGTTAGGCCTGGTGGGAAAGCTCATTGGAATCGAGTGTGTAGTCTATTAGTGTGGTTCCGTCTGTGAGTTTGTGTCTGCAGGGACTCTGACTGATAATGGAGTGTGAAATTAATCTCCAAAGGGAGGCAGAGGAAGGAATAAGGAGAGAGGCTGAGGAAAAGAGGGTAAAGGGTATGAAACAGGGTAAAGGGAGACAAAGAGGAAAGAAAAGGTTTGTGTAGGAGGTGAAACTTGGCATAATATTCACAAAGACAGCAAAGATTAAAAAACGATGTTTATCAGTAACATATTTAATACCATTAACAATTATAATCCCATTAAAACTGTGAAAATGTGAATGTGACAATGTGAAAGGGGATGGTCATATATTAACCTACAGATGATTAGTCTGCAGCTCAAATCAGCTTTATAGAGCTTGATAACAAGTTTCAGCTCATTTTTTTTTAGCTGTACAGTCCATAAATGTACTGTTTTGATTCACTTTCACCACTTTCATAATGTTGTTTTCGACTACCGCAAGCAGCTTTTTTTTTTAGCTAAAAAGCTCTAAAACTCTGTGTACTATACATGTTCGGCACTGAACGGCGGAGAGACACAGTTAGCAACAAACAATGTGGGGTTGGTGAAGAAAAAAAAAGCTAAAAGAGAGTGAACATCTCACAAATCACAACTCCAATTGAATGATTATGTGTTCCGTGACAGCTGGATGAGTAAATAGGCAACTGTTTGCTTACATATCTTTAATATGTCAGAGCTGTTTGTTTCATTGTGTTTCTTAGTTCTGTTTCCCAAAGTGCTCAAAAAGTCAATTAATGTGGCTTTTAAAAATAGGCTGCATGCTCTCCAGATACTTGATAGGGTTGGTGATATGTTATGAAATTTTCCAACTGGCCACCATCAGTCCATCAATTGATTGTCGATATATTTGCCCGTGTGTGTGTACTGTGCCATCCCTAATTACTGCCCCAGTAGTTTTAGCTGGGAGATGAGCTACATGCAACAAGCTCTAACACCTTTAATAAAATGTCAAGAAGAAAAGGAAACATCTATTTTCTGCATTGAACAGAAAATACAACAGCAATCCTTCTGAATTCAGTTTTTCTCTTATATCGAACTAAGACCTGGTTCAGCGATC